TACTCGTACGTAAAATTAAACCGAGCGCGTTGTAGATTATCAGTGAGGTCACCGTAATTGATACAAAAATGTATATCCAGAGGTTGTGTGTGATGAAAAACCAAAGCGCCAGTGATAACAAAAAAAATCACACGGCCAATTTTAAGGGGCCCGCCTTTGAAGGTGCAAGTGTGAACAAACTGTTTTATCATATGAGTAAGAATGGGTAATTTCCGTTAGACTTAGGGTAAAAAAGGAAATCTTTCTGACGTTTGCCACTACAACATTATTGATGCGTTCCGACCAGGAAAGAAAATGATTAGGAATCACATCCAAATATTTTACTGATTTTCACCGACTAAGGGGTGTATTGTGAATAAATGGTGGCTAGTACATCCGAAGAGAATCCGAATATGATTTGCCCCCTTCAGAGAGAGAGAGAATAGAACATCAATGCATTTGGATGGGTTCGAAGATCGCTTCGGTGCAGAAGATCACCTTGTTCGGTTGTGAGATATCAATTTGCTCAACGGTCAATTTCTCGTCATTCAACCGAATAAATCCAGACCCGCTGTTTTGTTCTACGCATTGCACTCCAGTGCATTGTGATTCGTTCACGTGAATCAGTAGATCACCGGAGGACTTGGGTCACACATGGTAGCACCCCCGGTCACACTCTGTTTTAATGACCCAACTCGCAGATTGTGAGTCAACCACGGATTATCAGGAGAAGATCTAGTGGCTTGAGTCTGACCACAGTGAATGATTCAAGTCAAGTCAAGTCAAGTCAGTAGTAGCTTTATGCAACCGGATGGGTGTATTTTCAGCAATTACACGATATTTGTGGAATTCAAATTTACAAAATCGTACATAGTGAACACAATGAAAGCAGTAAATATTGTGTTTCTCAATAAAGCAAGCAATTGCGCAATTCTGTGGAAATTGTGTCCTTGTCTATAAGTAGACGTGCTAGATATGGCAGAACAGAATTGCGATAAGCACAGGTACGTGCAAATAAAAGCTTAAATCTGAAGCGTGTGGATGATGTAGATACAGATTTTGAAAGTTTGTTGTGTAATGGGTGGTGAGTGTCTGAGAGTATTTTGGCGGCGAAATTTTCACATGCTTGTAGGTGTCTGTCAATGATGGAATCGGCCAGTTTATCCCTGACAATGCCACTACATTTAGAGATGTGTTTTAGAGATCTCGCCAGTAAATAAAAGTCTTCCTTCAACATACCGGGAAAAATTACTGGAGAGCAATACAACCAGTGGGGTAGCACGCATGCATTCACAAATCTAACAATCAGCTTGTGGGGAACAGAAAATAATCTCAATCGGAGTGAGAAATATGAAAGCTTTCTAACTTTACAGAATGTGTTTTGAACGTGCAGTGACCAGGATAAATTGTGTCATAGGGTGACGTCAAGGTATTTTACAATTTTTTAATTCGGTAAGTTTGTTGATTTGCAGAGTGGGTGGGGAACCTACCTATAAGGGCTGAATATGGTACATCGGCCAAGAGGGAAAACACAACATCCTGACATTTAGGGGCATTCAATGAGAGGGAACGGGACAGGGACCAAGTGATCACGTCATTCAGCTTGCTTTGAATTTCGGAAGCCTTTTCGGGGGTGAATGCTTTGCAACCTAAAACAACGTTATCAGCGTATTTACAGCCAATGAATAGAGGAGGAATGGGAAGTTGTTTGACATACATAGAAAAGAAAAATGGGGAAAATATTGCACCTTTCAGGACACCAGAAGAAACTGGGCGAGTGGAGGACTTTTTGCGGTTGAGACATGTAAACTGCCTTCTATCTGTGAAATAATCACAGATCAGTCTGCTAACATTTGAATTTACACCACTTTCGGTAATCAGGTTGAGCAATACTGATCGATCAAGACTGCTGAAAGTGTTTTTGTAGTCTAACAACATCATTCTGACGGTTTCACTTTTATTATCAAGTGTCGAAATTATTGAATGAGCAAGGTATGCAATGGCATCAAGTGTTGAGCGCAAACAATGATATGCAAATTGTTGTACGGCGTCTTCGACAGACTCGGTTACAACCCGCGGTATGAAACATCTCTCAAATAATTTGAGCATGACTGATGTGCAGGCGATGGAACGATACTTTCCAGGTTCCTTTTTTGGAACGGAAGTTATCTTGGCCAGTCTCCAAATATTAAGAATTTTTCCACTCATCAGACAGACATTGAATATTTAAGACGATGGGGCTGAAAGAGTGCCGTATATACCTTGAGTAACGCGGGTGATAGCTCGTCCGGACCAGATGCTTTATTCATCTTTGTTTTCAGTATCTGTTGAAGGACCGTGGCAGGTTCGATAGTCGGTGTTGGCGTAAAACTGACCAAGTCTGGCAGGTCAGTGCACTGTGAAACTAGACTAAACTCGGAATCTAGTCTTTCAACGTTGAAAGTTTCTCTTTTTTTGTTTATAGGTACCACCACACAGGCGGTTGATAGCCCTTCACATGCCACGACAACTAAATTTTCTCAGGATAGTGTCGATGTACAGTTTGTTCAACCGATTTATCTCAGCTATGATCGAAATTGTTAGCCGCTTGACATTGATTTTTTGTCCTTGTCTATAGGCTTGTTCTTTCCGCCTTCGCGGCTGCTTGAATAGCAGTGATGAATATCTATCTTTATGGATAAAGACCGTTTCTAGTGGACAAAATTGGTTCAAACAGAAATCAAGGTAATCCGTAACGTGTTCACAGAGGACAGAAGGGTTCTGATCGGGAAACACCGAAAAATCAGTGACGGCAACCATGGATCTTAGCCTTTCTAGGTTCTCTGATGAAGAATTTCTTTGACTCACTATCTTGTAAGGCTTTCTTGAAAGTGTGTATCGGTTGTTTTTGCTGTATACAGTGGGACATACTTTTAAGATACATTGGTCTGCTCAGGGGAACGCGTTTTCGGACTTTAAAAACTTGTGGTCTGTTTGTGAAAACGAAATCAAGCTGTGAGTTCAGTCTGGTAGGAAAAAGTACTAAATTTTTAGACCCAGTGCGGTGAGGAATGTTACATCATGTCTGTTGAAATCACCAACAAATATACACAAAGAGTCACTTGTTTTTGATATTATGGAGGTAGAAAAAATGTCAGAAAAGCTATTTATGTCAGCAGTTGATATTGTGGGTGACAGGTAAAAGTTTCCAAAAAGAATGGAATGAAACCCACTCAAAAAAACGGGGCTTACATTCGATGAAATGACAACTGATTTTAACCGCTGAGTATTCGTAAATGACAGCAGTTGATTTACTCCAGTTTTCGCTTACGTAACTTGCAACACCTCCACCTCGTTTACGGACACTCGCGGGACGGTCAACCCGATACAAGTTATATCCATCCACTTGCACAATTTCACTGGGGATTTCTTCATGTAGCCACGATTCCTGAAGCATAATAATTCCTAGGTTTTTGTACTCCTTTTTCTTTGTGATGTCTACCACCTCCTCGACTTTTCCCAACAGACAACGAACATTGCTTGTTAAAATGAGAGGAATTTGCATTTGGCTAGTGCTGCATTGTCTGAGAGCGACTTGCCATCCTGCTCGATGCTTTCTCTTTCTGCCGTTTTGTGTTTTGATCATCCGCTTGAATTTATTTCTCACATTATTGGAATATTTCACAAAAGGTGTAGTTCGCGCGATAACACATAACGATTTCATGAACGTGCTCGTGTAGGATAGCATTTATTGTCCTTGAAATTGATAACAATGCGATTTGATGACAAATAAATCCACAAAAGTGTAAATATGATTTTCGATATAAATGACGCGGCCGAATTTAAAGGCCCCGATTCGGAGTAAATACAGGTCTAATCGAAATTGAAGTAACGGGTCCCTGTGAAACAATTGTCAGTTCGTATAGGCAACAGCATTTATACTGAAGTAAATTTTTTTTCATAATAATGATAAACAATTCTTGGTGAGTCTTTATAGCCGTGATTTGATGATTCGTTTACACTCAGCAGATGGCATGAATCAAAATGTAGCGGCTACTCCTATTTGATCAATAATGATTGAGCTAGAGCATGATGAGTTAAGAGGTAACTAAAGAAAACGAAACTGTTTTAGTTACAACAAATAAACATAGATAATTACTATAGTGTAAAGTTAGTGTACACTAATGGTCAATTGGTCTGCCTTTGTTCTTTAGGACTTTTCCGAGTCTCTTCGGCATCGAATCTACCAACTTCGTTATGAAGTCATTTTCTATTTTGTGCTCCATTACGTATCGCATTTTTGCCTCCAATTTCCGATGTTCAGACAGCACATTGACCTCTCTGTTCAAAACAAAGAACAGATTTTCAATCACATTAAGATCCGGGCTATTAGGGGGAAGTTGCATGAACAGGACCTTAGGTCGACTTTGATTGAAGTGGTATTTCTCGAATTTAGTGAGCTAGATATCAAACAGAGATTATTATTGTGAAATCCTATTTAATGCAATACATCCGGGTTATGAAAGAATTTCATTTGATTATCGAATAGAGTTGCTATAATGGATTATATATTAGATACAATAATGTCTCATAACAAATAGGCGAGATGGCAAGGGTTCAGGGAAATAATTTAGGATAATTCTTGAGTCATTCCTTTTAGAAAATATTGCATCGTCATACTTTATAAAGTTTGTGGTTTTCATGTTCAGATCATTTAATCTAGACACTCAAGGTCAAACATGTTTAATTGACACTTATGCAGACTAGAAACTACGTAGATCGGAGTAGACAAAATATAAATTATTGTCCATACCAAAAGCATTAACACGTGATAAATATGATGAAACTTCATTTGATAATAAAGAAAATATTTCAGTGCATCACAATCGGCCCGTACTGTGCATATTAAGAATGATGGACGAACAAGCCCCCTTTTGTTCCGTTTTCAAGTGCTGATTTGTGGTTCGCTGCTTAGTAAGTACGACATGTATACAAACTAAGCCTTGCGTTTTTCTCTGCTCATTTATTTACGCACAAACCAGATATCTCAGCTGTTCCTGAAGCCATATACGAAATACTGTGTGGAGCTTCAGTGTTGTCAGCGTTACATCGCAGAAACCGCTCAGAACATTTCATCATTTAACGCATTTCTCAAGGTGAGTCGATCCATTCTCCGTCTATCGATCACTTTCAGTTTCTAGTCACGCATACATCCCAAGGTTTGCATTTGCTCAGTTTACAGGATTCCATTCTGATACGAGCCCCTTTGGCACCAGCCTGTAATTACATCACAGATTGTCAGTGGATAGATAGCAGGGGATTGGCTACAAATACACCCGGGGTTTATATTTAGCACACAATGGAAAACGAACTGGCAGAAAGTCCTCGAATGTGATATTCGAACAAATTGAAAATAATCCCTTATCGCCATACTGGACTGGAGCACAGTGCCACAGTGATAGCACACACACATTGATGAGAAAATATAGACACCGTGGTGCTTCTCGATTGTTTGAATAAGCTATTTCAATAACAGGTACACACATCTATGCGTCAATGACCGGGTAAATTGAGTGAAGGCAGAGTGGGTAGAAACGGATTTAGACAGTGAATGAATGTGATCATCTTCAGCTAGATTAACTAAACACAAGCTATAAGTTTGTTCACAATGTGAGTTGACAGGTATATATGAATAGAGAACATCTGGAAAACGACTAGTAGAGTATTGATCAACATCATTGTTCCTCTACACAGTTCTACCAATTTCCTTGGAAATGTTTACATATCCACACCGACTGGTCGTACATTTAAGAGTATTTCATCTTGGGTATAGCAATTGAATGGTTGAGACGGTCAGTAGATGAATTATTGAGTTATTAACCAATCAATCAATCAATAGCAAATGGTAGTGAAATGGCACTGTCTGGGGAATACTGCGCCCCATATTATGACACTTCCCGATCTACAGATATCAGAATTTCGTGCTGAACAAGGAGACTCACTTTCGTCGATCCTCGTGCCCGATCTAATGTTTCCATGGGTTATTTGACACGGNTTGACACGGTCATTCATGCTCCACTTATTACGAACAACGATAATGATCATCATGCATCCAGTCCGTGTACGGATAGGAAAGAGCGACTCCGAACGAATGTCGGTAGGATCATTGCAGTGCTTGTTTTATAGAATGTTAAGTTTCAAATTAACTTCCTAACGATTGACTGACATTCAACAACTGGTGCTTTATAAAGACTGCCCAATTGGAAAAACAGAATTAAACGCGCAGCATAAGGGCCACGCACGGTTTTGGAGGAATAACCCGGCATGAAGTCAATAGTCTCTGCCAGTGGGGTCGATGCACTCGCACTACTGATGAGACCCAACAACGTCAAAACAGTCATTCAGTGCTTCGTAGCTTTTCAGTTCACGCTTCATTTGCCGTATACACATGTCGAATTCACCTTTGAAATTGAATAAAATCCTCTATTATTCACAATATGAAATCAAAATAACAGAGACACAGAGAAATTATATTGTTCGTAGAACCAAGTCAGTATATTAAAAGTGATGCATGTAAATGTGACTGCATACAGTGTCTGGGGAGTGTGAGCGATACTCGTATCTTTGACGACTTACCAAATCCGGACCGGGAAAGCAATAATTTCTGAATCTTTTCCAAACCAATAGAGTTCCCTCTGAATTTTATTCCCATTGTTTACACAGAGAGCCGACTTTCTCGGGAGTGAGCATCGGGAAGCTTTGTGCGATCGGGTGGCCAAACCGTTCAAAAGAATCACACAATACAATCTGATGCTAGAAAGTGTTCGCAAATACTGTGAGGATCCGGAAGAAAAGAAACTGGTCGATCGAATGGTAGGCCACAATTCGGTTATCTGATTTGTCTAAATTGCGATGATCTTCTTCTCTTTTCCATTCAAATTTCAGTTGTGTCTGTGTGTTCGCCCCGTTTCGGAGTAGCTCTCTTGCCTTGTCTGACCCCGCCCGCATCACCGGGGTTTGTAGGTCTCGGTTATCGGAAACCTGTTCCTCTGCTCACCTGTGGAACAGTTGACCCGATAGGAATGGGATAAATGATACAGACTGGCCAGAATAACTTTACATGCACCTTACTTGTGAAGGCATGCTCTAATGCCCAAATCACATTGTTCATCTCAGCTTATTCTTTCCAGTCTGTTAAATGTATTATCAACGCATTTTGCTCACAGTCCATTTCATATGAAAGTGAAGATTACCTGTGGACTTGTCAAGCTGAACAGTAAATATACTTCCCATTGCATCATTTATTTCGTTCTGTGTGTTTGTGTGTGTGTGTAGAAGTGATGGCCACCAGCCTCATTACACAATGTGCACCAAAACAAATGACCATATTTGATATATTTAACCTATGATGCAATACCACGTTGATATGTGATCATGGTAATAACTAGCAGGGCAGTGTCGGAACAGTAACTTTTGTATTTTTATTTGTATAACTTTTACAAAGCTCAGATATGCTTANGCTTACATTTCAGTCACAAAATTGTACACTGATCGCCACCCCGAAAAAGTACAGAGGTATAGACAAATGCAATAGAGTGTTGTGTAAAAATGTCTCAGAAACTTTATTCATTCGATTAAAGATTGATGTAATTTATGTATAACTCGTTCCTTGTTGGTCAAGATTCGAGACAGATACAGTGGAGTTATTATAAATGTTTATTCGAGAGGGCAGATGCCGACAAGAGAAACGAATGGGATCGACACGAAGACAATTCAAGATGCGAGAGGGGTAGTTTAGAATCTTATTGACAAAGGTCACATAAAACTTCATATGATCATTAATAAGTTCGAACGACGTTCAAACAATGAAATCACTGAAAACGGCTCAAGGCAATCGGCCCAGTCCAGAGAGGACTTTAACGATTCAAGTGCCNCATCTCATAAGTCACACATGATAGATCTAATACATTTCTCTTCAGACTATCATGCGAGTAATCTGAGCCAAGGAAAATTCAGGATTAAGGGTTTGAGCTCTCAGCCTCAAACGTTCGCGATTCGAATCCGAACACGGGGACACAAAATGTGTGCTAGGCAGATGAGAGATTTCCCCATTTCTTATACTCAACTGAGGCCTATTTAATTGTGCAATCAAATTAGCAATGACCTCATAGGAGTTCAATTTGAAACATTTGACCAATTTTGTGTAAATTCATCACGATTTCGCCGATTGTGTGCCATCGTGTTGATGATCTGAAAATGGTCGACCTTGACTAGTAGAAGAAGCGTTGGATAATTTTTGTTACTTACATGTTTTGGGCGGTTGTGGCCCGGTGGTGGTAACGTCACCAAATTACCACCCCGGGAGACGTGTGTTCGAACCCCATCACCATCATTGTGTATTCAATAAAAATAAGTAAAAATTAAAAAAAAATTATTTGCTTGATAAAGAAGATATCCAACAACATAGAAAGCGTTTTCTGTCTAGTTTCATTTTTGCTTCCACAGTGACCGCTTTTCTGAACACCCAATTGCATTATTCATGTTCTTTTTTCGTATACTGAACCTGTTCAACACCTTTTTCAATTTCAAATTTCTCGATACCCTTGTAATTGTATTTGTATAAGTCGTGTAAGCTCTATGCTTACATCTGGGCTAAAGATGTACACTGGCAATCACGCGGAATAATAACATGTGACATGCAACCGAAAGAATATTTCGGAAGTTTCCTTTGTGTAAAAAGCGTTTGGACTTCAATCACCTGTTATCTGTGCCTTTTTGGTTAACAGTCGGGTGAGAGAAGGTACAGGGGAATGTTTTATGAATGTTAATACGCGAGGGCAGATGTGGAAAAGAGGAGCTTGTGGACGGATAGGAATGAAAAGATGAGAGATTGAGGTGCATTGAATGAAGCGGTTGGTCTAGAATCTTATTGGCAAGTGTAACACCATTGTTGAGTTATCTGATCAATGAAACGATTGAGAACAATAATACACGATTGACAATCACCAAACCACGACCAATGGTTCTGAAGTCTTGTTTTAAAAGGCCGGGAAATACTGCAAGGGAACAATTCAAATTAGAATGGGGAATACGCACTGGTGAACGAAAGAGAACAGGACTGGCTGTGGAGTTCGGAATTACCCGGTTTTGTATAAGTGAGAAGAGAGGCGTCTCAGTTTCCCGATACAACAGTTTGTATAGACCGCCGGACAGTTCTCTAGTAGTGCGTATATCNGGGGGGGGGGGCAGGAGGAATCTTTAACACCACAACCAGCCATACAGTGTATTGTTTTTTTTTCGTTTAATCATAACCGGAAAGTCTTCACACGGGAATGAGTAATTCACATCCATGATCTGCCCTCGTTTTGTTTTCCACTCATCCGCAATACAGCACACATGGATTGGTGATATGCTCAAAGAGATTGAGATTGAAATGCGCCACGTGGAGATGAAAATGTTAGCTCGGGAATTGTTGTTTTTGAATTGCCCGGAACATCAAGATGAGGCTTACCGCGGATTGTTTGAACAGTGCAAGAGGTTAGTTGCCCGACCGAGGGTTATCAGCCTCGGAAGGTCTCTTTCTGGTTTATTGATTTGTTTCCCTCGTCCCGTTATTCAACAGACACCAGTTGTAATCCGTTTTCACTGGGATGCGGAAATCCATCAATTCAACAGTTATGCTGGTAAAGTGAGGCGAACACAGTTGTCTGCAAACGGGAGGTTTGAGGCGAACCAATAGTGTCCTCTACCACCCCGGTGAACATGATCGGCACCACTTGACTGAGATGGGAAAATAGTGCATGATAGAACTGCAGAAAAAAATGACAAAACAGATTGTGTTCATTTCAATCTACTACATTCAAACTGAACAATTTATTAATTTTAAGACTGAATAAGCTGCCCTGTGTTTTGACTATGTATAAGTAACGCGTTCAGTCTATCCCACATTTTATGCAATCTTTGAAGTTATGCGATAAACAAGCTGAATACATTTATTGACTACGACTGATAGAGTTTGAACTCGGCCACCATGGTTGGTTTCACCGATTTCATTGCACGTTCAGACAAGTAGTTACATATTTGGAGTAGAAACTAGCCCAGAAACAAACAACAATCAATGAACCTTTACTACAGATGACGTTCTCATGTGTATGATACGCATTCAAATTTCAAATTCAAATTTTTATGGGAAAAAACTTGCAAAGACTTCGCTTATCAAATCTCATAGGATGTTTACACTTTGGTTCGGAACGCAATTCACAAGACCACAGTTAATCCATGAAAGTAAAATAGTAATGTAATGTTTTTGACTAATACAGGAGAATATATTATGTAGTTGGGTATTGAAGTATAATATTTGCCAGAACATCATCAAGCTGACGCTTGAAAGATACTAATGTTGGCGCACAGACCACGTGAGGTGGTAGAGAGTTCTATTTGCTGCACACTGTGACTGCAAATGAATGGCGTCTGCAGTCAGGCCAGGTCATATCGGTTTGCACAGGACGGTAAAGGCTTTCGCCAACCGAGCGTTCAGATTCTTGTTCCAGCTGAAATCAAGATTCCTCCGGAGCTTTGACTTTTTGTTCACTGTTTGACCACAGCCAATTTCTCTGTCCAGAACAGCCTCCCTTTTTGGGTCCGTAGCTGTATAGGGAGGTTATTCGCAAATAGGAAGCGTAGAACACCTACTGTCAATAGCAGGCAACCTACAAAATCTCTGGATGGAGACTGATCCAGACCTCATCTAGTTGATTTTAGAACTCATCGACTGTCCTAGCAGTGAAGATGGTAATTAGTTCCATTTAGCTGTTACTCTACTCGTGAAGAAGATCTATTGAAGGTTTAGTCGGCTCCTGGGTTTGATGAGCTTCAAATGATGCCCTTTCGCCAACTCGAGCGGTGCTCAAGAAAACAGGCTGTCTGCCTCTATCCTTGTCAGTCCCTGTATTATTTTGACGGTTTCAATAAGGTCGCCTCTCAGGCATTTCCTCTCCATGGAGAAAAGACCTTGGATCTCCAACCTCTCTCTATATGATTAATTTATCCCTCATTCCCGCGATCATCCTAGTGGCTAATCGTTGAACCCTCTCAACGCAGCAGTTGTCTGTTCTCAAGCAAGGCGCTCAAGCCTGCACGTAGTATTCTAACTGCGGTCTAACTAGAGCCTTATATAGGGACACGAAAACCTCTACCTTCTTCGACGAAAGACCAACCTTAAGCTGGAGTAGTTGCCCCTTAGCTTTGTGTTCTGTGGCCGGGTATTGATCACTAGGCTTGAAGTCCTTGCGAACGGAAACCCCCAGATCCGGATCCAACATTTGATCTCATCGAATGAAGATCGTCGGTTCCGTAGTCGTAGTCACTCAGACCGGAAGCCGTTCGGTGTTTAAGACATGACGCTTGATAGGGTTTAGCTCTGAGCCCCGTTTCACCAAATTGAAACTTTATATTATTTACAGGGAGAAAACCGAAAAGAACTGTAATAATGAATCTCTGTTTCAGTAATTCAGTGTCTAATCTGTATTTTCTTTCTTTAACGAGATACCATCCTTCATAGGTGACCAACACCCGTATCTAAGTTTGCAACCGGCTTGGATGCCTGAAGCTTGTCTGCGCGGCGAGCACGTGATGTTGGATTCCCAAAGCAGTTGTATTGATCGGAACAAACGAGAGGCAAACAGAACGAGATTGTATTGTACTCATCATCACCACTAAAGTTGATCCCGACTTGACTATAAGTGATTGGCAAACGTTACTTTTTCGCGTTCAGCTATTTTCCGAAAGCCAAAATTTTGGTACACGTGTAACTAACCCAAATAGCGGGCAACAGAACACATAGACCTCTGAGCACTCAGCTAGACTGTTTAAATGACGATGATGTGTCGCATGTCACGGTTTGCTTGAACCAAGGGACAGATGTTTAACCAGCAAAAATAGAGTGACAACGAGCTCGTTTGTGGTTACAACACGCATAATTTAGCCAAGTGCTGCCACCAATTGCTAATAGACGACAGGAGAGAAACTCATGTTAATCTGACCTGGGTTTTTGTTTCGAGTAGCCTCAAAAAATGCCACAAACAAACACTGTTTAGGGTATGGAACTGTCCCTTGTACCCGCGATCATTCACAGACGTTCTCGATACACACCGGTTAGGAGACACCTCTACCAGCAGGTTTCCGACCGAAGGGGTAGGTCTAAATAACCTGCAAGACGGGAACAACACAACCATAAGCCAAAAGGTCCAGTGGAACATCCACGACTCACACTCAATCCCCAAATGGCGACGGCGTGCGTGATATGTCCAGGTTTGCACAACGTCATACATGTCTGTGTCTGTGTTTATCTGACGATGTGCTCAAACGGGCGTGTGTGAGTGAGAGAGAGTGAGAGATAGAGAAAATAACAACGGTCTTTAATGGAACGGGAGTTGATGAAAAAACGTACCCATAAGATGTAGTGAGTTTGAACAGCGAACAAGTGCTTTTTGATCCCATTATTGATGAGCTCTATAGCTAATCAAAAGACACACAAAAGACCAGCGTACACGAGACCTGGTCTGGCCTGGTGCACAACATGTCATTCATCGAAAACCTTTGAACCAACCGCAACGCGAACAGTCAAGCTGTGAACTTTCGGACGTGTCATGTTTTACTTGTTTTCAACATCCGGATCCATTTCTCTCGCTCTCGAGCGCGATAATTGTAATGGATTCAATCTAGCCACGAACTAGCATGAACGACCAATGTTGGGTGACTAGTCATCTGTGCCTACCGCGTGGGACGGTTTCAACGTCACCAGACAATAGTTGGCTAACTTTTGCCGACTCAGATTCGAACACACAATTTCCCAACTGTCGGGGAGTTGCTAAAAAGTTCGCGTTAGCCAGGATGGTGGTTTAGTCACTCCCATCGATATGCGTTTAACCCTGCGGTCCGAGGTTTGAGCACACCATCACCGCCACCCAACGTTGTTCGTAGACAGCTTTGCTGTCATCCGGTCCAATAACACACTTCATCTAGCGTAGTGGCCTTATGTGTTTCGTCACTCCAAGTCTCGCGGGGCTTAGGTTACCGGTTATCATCCCTGACCGGCGGGTCTTTGTAGCTGTGGGGTCCGCACAGTGGTATTTAATCAAAAAATTATCGTCCTTGGTGAAATGCTCATGCACTACTACACTTCTCAACTGTAGGTCTGTTTACACTGTGGTGGACCGCTAGGTGCCTCTTATTGAGAACTTATATTGTGGGCACAATTGCGCCAATTGGTTAACAATCTAACCGTGTCGTTTGACATGAAGTGAGCAATCTGTGATAAGTCGTCAACGACCAAAATTGTATGTCTATCGATCGCGAAAGATGCCACTTCATGTGTGTGTATGTAGTTAGCTCCAGTCATTTATTTCCCAATGCCCCGGTTATCTATCGTTACACCGTTTTGTTCTGTAAAAATGCAATACAATATTGGGAACACCATGAAGCACAGCGCCAGTTTATTGAATTATTGATGGGGAAAGTTCGTCAATGCTTGACCAATACTAATGAATGCAATGTGATCAAATCGGGCAGGGCCAGTCCTACCCCCGCTCGTGATTCGAATAATAAAAAAGAGCAGCTTAGGAGTCTATAGTCCTTGTTTGGGTCGAATAATTTATTCCACTTTCGCTCAGTACGGTTTGTTGGCCATCAGTAAACAGTTCCATCGAATTTAAATGCATTTACCAGGGGCGGAGAATTAACAATCACCCAAGGAGTGAAACCCACACCCGGCGTCATCAAAAGTGTCTGGTGCTTGTGATAAATCGAATGAGCTAATCCAAACACTTACCGCCTAAACTCACAATCTCATTTGAAACAACATTGCGCGGGCACACTGACAACTTTATTGCTTTGTACTGGAGTCAAGGAGTACTACTTCTATATAGCGAATAAACATCTAAAAAACAGGTGAATTGATGAAATGCATAGGATCTCGATAAGTCGTCACCCCACAGCTTGTTCAGTAATCTCTTTCAACTTGTTCAATGTTTGGGAGCTTAGGAATGCGGAGCATTGATTTAAAATGAAACAGAAAGCACCGGAAACGCTAATTTTCTCAGTTGAATTTAATGACATTTCCCTTCGCGTGTTCACTAATCAAACGGCATCTCTGCAAGTGGTTCTGATCTTTTTCGTAACTAGTCACAGCTACAAAGATCACAATTTAATGATTTGAGAATTAACCACCCACAGCCCCCCCCCTCACCCCCCATCCCTCCAACGGAACATCGTCACAGTCGGATGAGTATTAATCACTAATTTGTATCAATCGATCCAAAACAGAAATAATCGCTAGTCACTGTAATATTGTTTTGTTTGTCTTGATCTCCTCACGTGCAGAGTTTCCTTGTTGAAAGATATTGAGCTTCCAGCTCCAGTAATTCTAACCGAGGGAGAAGTAATGGGTCTGAAACAAAGGAGTTTCAGTTCGATGGACACTATCCGAGGTGGAATCAATAATCAGAGATTTGAACCACTTACCAAATCCGTAATGTCAGGCGATACAACTTCCCAGTTTGAGAGTGACTGGTCCTCGACTGACGGAGAAGCTTTGCAACAAAATCGATCGAGCAGTCAGAAAAGATCGTGTACACCGTGTGGCCCCATGCAGTCGGAAAGTACAAAAGGAGTGCCGGTCCTACTCACCAGAGTCCATCCTTCATCCTCATATCGGATTTCCAAATTGAATACGTCGATTTTTGATCGAATACGAACATCACCCGCAACGGTGGCCGAGTCCCGTCAAACCGTACCACGTTCATTGATACGGAAAATAAAGCTCCGATTTCGGGAAGCCCAAGGCAAAGTGAGTTTCTTACTATATCCTCACCCTACCCCGTCATCTGCACGGGATTGCATATCTCCGAATGCGCATCACGTTTCAAATAAGCGTTGATAGTTGGCAGAAAATAGATGAAAATCACCAAAGGGTTGTGAGATTAGATCATCAAACATTTTGAGACAAATATGTCTGTTTGTTTGTTTGTTTGTACGCTCAGCAACAAAAAAGCATCACATTATTGGATCATGCAGTCTGTGAAAATAAATTGATTTTGTTTTCAGCGACAGAGAGAGAGAGAGAGAGTGAGCGAGAGACAAAACACCGGCAGGAACACATGTTCATTTGTGCGGCTTCATCCGCAAAATGGAATGTTGAATACAATAGGGATTAACAGAAAAACATGAATAGGAAACGAGCTTGTTTTCCGGCTGTATCAGTTATGTATACATATATATAATGAATAAAATTGTTCATCAGTAGTTTCAAATAGAAAACCGAGAATGGAAAAGGCAGATTAAACAGAATGTGTGAAGTAAATGTCATGTGAACGACCGTGAGTGGATTGACCTTCAGGGTCTGGTTCGGGTCAAGTTGGCTGAAGAGCTTTGACTGACTCGTTCATTTTGAACACAGAATTGATCTAGATAACTTAATCGTTACCGTTATTGTAAGATTGCGTTGTTGGGGGATTTTGAAAGGATTTTGAGGTACCTTGTGGACGACTTGAACGTGTCTTTAGTTGTCTGATATCCGGTATCTACGAGATGTGCCATGACTATACTCCAGATGATCTTTGTTTTTTCCCGGGTTAAAACGGACTTGATTCTTCGACAAAACTGTCTGATCGTTCTGCCGATGAAACTTTCTGAACGCAAGCAAGCAAGAAACAAATAGATTAATATTGACCGGAAGTGTGTGACCTCCAAGTCCTGTGTTATCCTCTTTCCTGCTCTGCTGTTTCTTTTTTTATTTATCGGTTCGATGAACAATGTTTTATGTTACGTCATTCACCTCTGCTCTCCGCCACATCCATATCTTTTAATCAATGCATATTGATTCTGACATAATTTAATGTACATCTACTCATTTCATACATATATATATATAAACTGTGTTGACTAGAGCAATAAGTTATCGAAAACGGGCTTCTTTGCTACACGTATTATTCTGTCAATGTCACGATGGGAATCTGTGGTGGATTGTGGATTAACTGCAGACTGAAGAATACATACATGTATACATACACACACATACATACATACATACATACATACATACATACGTACAAACCGCAAACTCTACCAAGAATGAAAACGCAATATTTCCTGATAGGAATGACTCAAGAATTATTTTCCTGAACCTTTGCCATCTCGATTATTTGTTATGAGGCAATATTTTATCTAATATATAATCCATTATAGCAACTTTAGTGATTGACCAAATGGAATTCTTTCACAACCCGGGAGGTATTTCATTAAGGTTCCATATTTATAACCCATACTTGATATCTAACCGACTGAATCCGACAAATACCACTTCACACGTAGTCAACCTTGAAATCAAGGTCATTTTTGTGCACAGCCTTGTATGTTCGTATTGTAGAGAACTTTGAAATACAATGGTGGATGCACCGTTAGCAACGTTTCCACTGCACACCCACAGCAAAAATGACACCGAAAGCAGAGAGAACGTATATTCTACAACCGGGGGCGTTCGTACAAAGAAAGGTCTTAGTTGATATATATATATATATATATATTTACAAGCACAGGGAGTGGGCGAGCATTAAACAATGGGAAACGCGTTGGTCTGTCTGGGCATTTGATGTCCCATTTCTCCGGGGTTTCGCCTTGTGTTGGCTTAACTCTTCTTACGTGTCTGTGGAAAGAGGAAGAAAATACAGAGAAGCTAGTTTACATCAAGAAGTCTGCTCGCTTATTGTCACTACAGTATTCTCGTCACTCTAATGAAACAAGCAGCACTTGAAACCAAACGTTTCCGTTATCTCAGTGAAGAGAACAAAAATAGAATTGCACGAGCACACAAGCGAGGATTTTTGATATCAACTCTTGCCCAATGCTTTAACATTAACAAAAGCACAATTTACACAATAATCCATAGGAATACCATAACCAGAACAGCTTTTGGGGGCCATAAATCGAGTGCATCCAACACAGGAGGACGACCTGCTTCGTATTACTCTGAAAAAACATTGCATATAATCGTTGTCATCTATCGAACGGGAAGATCTTCCCCGCCGTTCATACTCCCTCCAGCAAAGAAGAATGAAAAAGTTTAAGATGCGTCAGGTTTCAGCTGACGTAAAGCCAGCATTTGATTTTACCCGAGAATTCAAATCTCGACGTGCGTCATTTTGGCGATCAGTTTATTTCGTCGACGAGTGCATGATGTGTGACGAATCTTGGAAGGCTCACAAAAAAAGTCATTTGTGGTGAGCATTTCCCAAAAGGACTTATTCCATCAAATGAAAGAGTTTCTCACCCGTCGAGATTATTCCTCTGGGCGGGGATAAAACATGGCCATGGCTTATCGGTGAATATCAATCAAAGACACCATGAATAGTGGTAAATTTGTATCAGTAATGACGAAAATATTTCCAGAATTTCTTGAAAAAAAATTGTCTAGAGATGTTATCGTTCGCTCAGCATAATTTTACGTGTCATGACTCACAAGCGGTTAGTAAATTTATTCAGTTAAGAATTCTGGTTCACTTATTATTTGCTTTCAGACTTCAGAAAAGACGCATGACTCTGGTTCATGCAACGTCCCCCTAATAGCCCGGATCTTAATGTGATTGAAAATCTGTTCTTTGTTTTGAAGAGAGACATCAATGTGCTGTCTGAACATCGGAAATTGGAGGCAAAAATGCGATACGTAATGGAGCACAAAATAGAAAATGACTTCATAACGAAGTTGGTAGATTCGATGCCGAAGAGACTCGGAAAAGTCCTAAAGAACAAAGGCAGACCAATTGACCATTAGTGTACACTAACTTTACACTATAGTAATTATCTATGTTTATTTGTTGTAACTAAAACAGTTTCGTTTTCTTTAGTTACCTCTTAACTCATCATGCTCTAGCTCAATCATTATTGATCAAATAGGAGTAGCCGCTACATTTTGATTCATGCCATCTGCTGAGTGTAAACGAATCATCAAATCACGGCTATAAAGACTCACCAAGAATTGTTTATCATTATTATGAAAAAAAATTTACTTCAGTATAAATGCTGTTGCCTATACGAACTGACAATTGTTTCACAGGGACCCGTTACTTCAATTTCGATTAGACCTGTACATGCATGTTTGTTATTCTTCGAAGCCGGCGATGTCTCTACAGGTTACTTTCTACATATAAGGACCGTATTTGTCAATCGGGAATAACACCAAGCACACACGTTGTGCACAAGTCGTGCTGAATAGGATAAGATACAACTCAATCACCCCACACTTCGGTGCCATAAACTCACGGATTTCCAGCCGAAAGAAGAACAAACCTCAGGCACACACTTCACCCAGCACATGTGACTTTATATATATATATATATCTTTTGCGAAATGAGACATCAAAAATAATTATTTTCCTGCAATTATATATATATTATATCATTTATATTATATATAACTATGTTGTACTGAGCGTTTTTGTGTGGAATAACGAACGCATATGTGTGGATATATATTTCTCAGCTTGCATTGGCATACTTGCACGTCAATGAAGGTGCCTCTACCCCCGAAATTTATATCCAACTGCAACTTTCTTAGTTCTCTGGTCCTGTCAATGGCATTGGCTCTATCTTGTTGATCAGGATCAAATTCGATTACATTTAGAACTCAGAGCTGAAATCAATGAAGCATTTTGTGTGAAATACAATCGATTGTTTCTCTCCTAATGGTTGTTTTACGCATATGTTCATTTTGGTGTAAGTCTTCAGGTGTTGTATTATTATGCTACGGCCATTATCGTGAATGATAAGCAGAACTACCTTTGGTATTGGTAGTTCGGGGTGTGTTGAAAGCCACTTTGATGTAAAAGTTTGATCGGCGCCTGTTTTCTGGATTTGACAATCCAACTATCATCTTTCAGGGTCAAACACATTCCCTAAATTGGACCTCCAACTTTTAGAAGTGTACAGCTCTGTAGAGCTATTTTATCAGTAGTCGTTAGTGGTACGAACAGAAATAGCGGATACAATGAAATTAGGCTAATCGAGTGAACGAGTTATTTGAATTCGCGACCTCTGGCGTGGCATTTCGATAACCTATATCATCGCTTGAAAAATCATAGTTAGTTTCATGTGGTCAGGAAAACTATACCAAATTTTGATTTTTTTTTCGGATTCGATACACCATTTTGGAATTTAATATAACTTGAAATTTCACATGTGGGTACATTCGGCTGCTCGGTGCAAACGACTGAACCAGTAAGATCTGTGCACACTGAGGCAAGCAAGTCTGTGGTCCATTTTGACCCATCTGTCTGTCTGTCTGTCTGTCTGTCCGTCCGTCAACCGATCACCAGACCTGCATCTTCCACTCCCTTTTAATGGTTTCATCTGTATTGCTATTATGCAATTTCAGTGGATAGCAGCCACGTGTTTACTGCTCACCGATCAACTCCTGATCGGAAAATCCCCGAAACGTCCGGACAAAAGCCAAATCAAAGTTTTTCGACCCCCGATCCGGCTGGACAAATTAGTCGTGCACCGACTGAAAGATCCCAGTAAGTTGAGTATTACCTGCTCACTGTCTCTCTCTCACACACAATTTATTGTTCGGACGAAACTGTGTTCCACGGATGTAGTGCATTGTGATGATAACCAGGATGTGTGTGTGTGTGAGTGTT